ATATTTATTATTTATATAATTATTTATTTATGTATTTAATAGCCTCGTTTTATAATATAATTGTGACCATTTTCTAATAAACTGTACTTTCATGTTGATTTCAATTTTGGTAGGAAGTCCTGCACAGAAAGCCATTCATGGTAAATATCAAGTCTCTTTGAGAAATTTTCTTGTACCCTCAAAGAGAATTATTGCTACTTATAGTTACAGAAGTGTTAAAGTTGGCCCTATATGTTGTTTATACATAAAATAAACCACTTTTGTGGTAATTTGAATTTTTGAGCATGAAAATAGAAACAAACATTAGCAACAAAATATACGTTACATATGCATTTCCTTGAAAATGGTGTCATGAACACTGGCAACAGCAAAGTAAGACCCATGAAATTTACAGTAAAACATAGTACTATATTACTTTTACATTTTTGTTTGTACATTCACATTTACTATACATGGTATCCTCAAAGAATATATAGATTTTTATGTTTTTTTTTTTTTTTTTTTTGTAATAGTTGCTTTGCTGTAACAGGAGTTGGAAAAAGGAATAGTCATGATGCAAATTTGCCATTTCTAACAAGCAAAGTAAAATATTACCCTCCCCTTTTATTTTACCTTTGTGTCTGCAATTGCCAATCCCTGAAATATCCAGAACCTTACTCATCAAATGTTTGACTTTCATTACTGAAGAGTGGCTTGTCATTCTGCCACTTGCTGTTTAATTGGTGGCGCACAGTCTGTTTATTGAGCCCATGCGCTGTCACAGGAGTTAGTAAGAAAGTGAGAATTGGCAGTTCACAACGCATACTGATTGTCCCCATAGTCTATGTATTAATTTGCATTAAGCCAGATGTATGAAGTATGATTAGAATGTAAGCCGAAGGTGCACCTGCGAGCTATAGTCTGTGAGGAAACTGTTGCTATGTGCTGCATTTGCACAAGTAAGGGTTTGAATGCTAATTTATAGTAGACCATATGGAGGCAGCCACAGTATTGTAGGTGACTAGAACTCAGAGGGCAATGAGAGGTTAGTGTTACTGGACCGAGGCGTCATTATGAACAGTCATCTAGTTATTGTATCTGATACCTATTAAGCTGCTCAACAGATGGACAATGATCTGGGCCATGATTACCATCAGAGGCAGCAGCTTGTAACTCATACTTACCCACCAAAGCTCAAATGGGGAACATTAGAGGACAATGGGAGGCTCTGACCTTAAAAGCTGGTTTTTAAAGTGCCACATAGTATGCACATAGTATTTTCTCGTGCTAGGAGGTGGTTCAGCTTAATTTTAACAAGGTTCTCCTGTATATTCGACACATTAGCCAAGGTCATTAATTGACAATGTTTACTTATGAATGTGACATTTGCAACTTTATTTAATTCAGTCAGTTAGTGGCTATTGAAATGACCTTTTGCTGGCTTCACTAGCAGAAACCTATACACCTCAAAGGTTTGCCAGCTTTATAGACAGTCAATAATTACACAAGACAGTATTGATGAAGTTGTTGGGTGTGAGCAGACATCTTGACAATATAGTGCCTATGTGATCCTGAAAATAATATTTATGAAATTGAAATTGATAAAAATGCAGCTCCAAGGCATTTCAGTCTCTTTCTAAACATTTTGTTGTTTATATATTTATTTGATGTAAAAACCCACTGACCTTAGTGACTGTTGGAGACAGTGATAGATGCGTTGTGGTCTTTTCTCTTGGCTATCTGTTTGAAAAAAATAAACGGGAGCTATCGGTTTAATTATCTGTCAATATGATAAATATGCAATTTGCATTATCTAGCTTGTCACATGCTGTCCATGTCAAAGTACTTTAGTAAAAAAATAAAATAAAATGCTGCTCAAGATTGTATGAATTTACCAAGGTGCTTTTTATCTGCATGGGTCATTTTCTCATTTACTCTGTTTATTGGAAAATCATAAATTATTATTCTTATCCGTTGACCCTAAACTGTCACCTCAGTTGATTTTTTTTTTTTTTTTTATCAACAAATTAAAACAATTTACTTGCTTTGGTAAAGATTCAGTTTCAAAGAAATGACACTGAATCTCATTAGCATTTTCAACTTAAAGTAACACATGGACCAAAATCCATCAAACAAATTTGATATTTAAGTTTATGAAACAACAATAAATGTTGAACGATATGAAGATTCATTTGATTTTGAAGCTTATTCCTGCATGCTCGGCAATATTTTAAACATTTGATGACTCTGGGCCTTAAAACTTGTCGTGCTCAGTCAGCAGGTCGGTCAATATGAAGGGCTGAAACCATGTTTTATACCATCTTTATCATGATGTACAGGTTCAGATGTAACATGCAGGGCATGAGAACAAATTGATTAGATCATGCAGCTAGAGAGGAGGAATCACATCTTGGTCTTTTATTTACAACCTATTCATGTTCATGAACCCACAACGAGATATGTCACTACTGGGATTGCCAAGCTTTGCAGTAAATCTGCAACATCTCATGTATGCTCTAAACAGCACAGATGGTTTTGTTGTAGTTCACTTGGCAGTGAACACCTCCTGAAAGCAAGAGCAGAGTTTCAGATTTTCCTTTTGCTTTTATTTGTTTGTGATGTTTCTTTTAAATCACAAGTTAAAATGATCCTAATTAGGTAAACAAATAAAAAAGAAATATTAAAAAGAAAATTGCATTTGAGTTCTACATGGTCTAAAATTCAAAGCCATATAAGAAAATGGGCAGTGATGGACACAGCTAACCAAAAAGTTAACTTCCCTAACCCATATTCCACAAAATAAAATTTTAAAAAAATTGCTTTGCTAAAGCTAAATCGCTAAACAAGTAAAATAAATAAATAAATAAAAATAGCAGAGACTAATGCTAAACTGCTAACGCTAAACAGCTAACGCTATACTGCTAACACTAAACTGCTAACCATTTGGATGATTGCCACTCAGTCTGCATCACGTCTTCTTCTTCTTCTTCTAATTAAGCAGAAGCTAATCTCGTAAATGACACATCCCCCTCACATTTATTTGATGCAACATCTATGGGAGAGACAGTAACTGTTGAAATTCAGTGGCTTTGGATGCTATCAGTCCATTAAATGATCCGTTATTAGTTGTTATCATCCTAATCGTTAGTGTTCAGACTGTCCTACCTACCTCCTAGTAGGTTTAAAGGGACATTATTATCGTTGTTATCACTGATAATATGCAGCGTTGCACGTGGGTAAACCAATAAGTTTATTATTTTTTTGTTTGTTTTTCAGCTTATGTAACCCTTTTCCTAAACCTAACCTTACACCTGATCCAGAGGACCACACTTGTCCCCAAATCTAACCCAGACCCTTTACTCCGAACTTAACCATGTGAGCCTATTATTATCACTAATAACACTAACAACTTAGCCCATCGTCAGTGCTAACAACACTAACAATGTGTCTTTAAACCCACTGGGGGGGGGGGGGGTAGTCTGACTGCTACATATGGGGATGATAACAACTAATAACGGCCATTTATTGGCTGATAACATTTGAAGTGGATGCAAAATACACACTTAATAATGTTAACTGGAAGTGAAATATACTGTATTTACAAATACGTAAAAATGCTGTTCTTATTGCATTTATTCAAAGTGGAGCTTATACGAATGTGAAATTTATTGTAAGCATTTTGCAGCTTAACAGATGGCTAGGCAAAAACAAAAACTACCAATTATGGTCGAAAAGTGAACATTTTGTAAAACATTTATCCACAGTTTGTTTAAAAAGCAGAGACCTATTCACTCTGATTTCAAATTCAGGTATCGTGTGTGAAAGTACATTGCATTTTCCTTTACACCTATCTGTCACACCATTCCTGATTTGGCTCCCTTATTTTAAAAATGAGATGGATATGATAATTTATATCACCACGTACTTTGTAGAATCCAAATCAACACAGCATGTGTCTTTGGATAGAAAGAGGTTAGACACTCTCCAACAAAGATTGGTCCAGATAGATAAATAAAAAAAACAACATCCAAAACTTAGAGGTCAACGTTTATGCTGTTTTGTTTGTTTCCAACATAAAACCTTTACCATTCAACATTGATATAACGAAAACAAATACAATTTGGTGCTGTTTTCAGATATTTAACCATTATTAGGTGATATTTGACATGTGCATACTCATTTATGTTTATCACATGCATTGTATCTAAAATGCATGCACTTCATATTCATATTCCATCAAGCATGTTTTAAAAGTCTGCAGGCTTGCTTAAGCCAACTTTGGGGAAAAAAACAAAAAACATGGGTATAAAAGTAAATTTCACCAGACATCACATGCCACAATGCCCCTTTCTTCTAATTTCAGTGCCCTGCCCCAAGGGTGCAATAACAGTTTATTACACCTATCCTCACTTTATGACCCTTCCCTACCTCTGCCCGCTCCCCTCTAGCCCACGCTAACTGTTATTGAAAACACCCAGGTCTGCCGTATATCATTCCTGAGCACCACAGTATGCTCTGTGCAACGCAGCCAATCAGCACCTGTTCACATGGGTATTGTCCTGGTCGCATTGGAATGGCTCCACTTGTCTAATATCTGCTTAGATGTGGAAGTATTTAAAAAAAAAAAAACAATCCCGTTTGTCTCTAAAGCTTGTGTTGCTCCAAGGCTGAATCATCTTTTGGCTTGTGTATTTGTTGTTTAGCAGAAAAGTGGGGAAAAATAACAAATGGAATTAGATTTTCTTTTTTTTTTTTCCTACATTATTCGTGTGGGTCTGGGAAGAAAAAATAAATAAGTTTGGCTTATATTACTGCAAGCATAAGGGTAGAGTGCACTGTATAATACTGGGAGCTCAGTATAGCTCTTGGATTTAGATTAAAATGCAAAGCGCTGGTAAAGATCTTTCAAGGTGGAGGTGTTCAGAGAAAAGGGTAACAGCTCATGGGTGACAGTGTGACAAGACTCAGGGAGGGACCCGTCACCCTTCTGCCACTGTGATGGCTTCTCTGTCAGCAAGAGAATGGTGCAGATGGGGAAGCCGCACCACCATGGTAATACAAATTTTACTTTTGTATCAGAAGAATGAATAGGATCATCCAAATCTAGCCTGCAAATGTAATGATTTCACTAAATAAGCTTTGGAGAAAACACCAGAAACACTGAAAATGAAGAAATAATACACATATTTATGTGAATACATAGTGTTGCTGTTACAATTGCAAATTCCGGTTGTCTAAAAATAAAATCTTAGGCATATTTCCATGCAGCAAACGACAAATGTGTGTGCTTTTATGCAAGGTTAGGTAACACCAGCTGACTGGGCAGATGGTTTGTGTTGTCATGGGTGTGTAAGATGTCGGTGTGGAGATGAGCCTGTTTAATTACATATCAAGTGAGCAACCAAGTTAGATATTAAAGAGTTTGTGGATGTCAAGGTCTGATGGAGTGAGGGATGGGGCCTTGCATGTTTGCACAGTAACTATGGACTGGATATACCACACTAAATATCTAAAAAAAGTATTACTTAAATAACAACATAAGCATGTGCATCTACACATCTACACAAAGACTTTCACTACCCCTGCACAAAATTGAAATTTTAGATTCCAAAATGTGTTCCAAATTTGTTTATATACTCACTTATACAGAAAGATGTTCAACACAGTGTTGTATCTTTGGTCCATTTTCAAGCATTCTTTTCAGTTTTTGTTGTGCTAAACTAGTATTGGACTTCAGTGATTATTTAAACAAGTGGTCTATTTAAAAAATAACAAAATCCAGATTTGTCTAGAGCAGCTATAAAAAAAAATAAAAAAAATAAAAATAAGTAAATTTGTTTTTTGTGCTTGTCATATTTTACAGTATGCGCTGGTACAGAGAACAAGCTAAGCACGCTGTCGGACCTGGAGCAACAGTATCGCACCTTGAGGAAATACTATGAGAACTGTGAAGTCGTAATGGGCAACCTTGAGATCACAAGCATCGACCGCAGTCGGGATCTCACCTTCCTCAGAGTAAGAAAAGAGCAAACTAATGAAGTAAACTAAAACTTTTGGTATGTTTAAATATAGACAATTTATGTGTACTGGTTGTTGAAAAGCTAAAACTTTTGTCTTGCTAGATTTTTGTGTCCACAGATACTGTATATTACAAGCAAATCATGACAAGTAACAAAATAAATAAAAATCAAGCAAGACCATATACCCCCACTAAGAGTCTGAATTAACTTGCAGAAGCTGTTTTATATTTCTATCCAAGTTTAAAGATGTAAGTTTACACAAGCTGTTCAGGGAGTAAATATGCACATTACTCATGCAATTATAAAAAGAAGCAAAAATAAAAAGTAAACTTTTTCATCACTGCTTTCTCAATGACATTCTTGTCTATAGACAAAATGGCAAGTTCATGGATATTTTTTAACCAATCAATGCTTGGATCAGTGTCTAAAGTTCAAATAATAAGCAGGGAGGAACATTGGTTTAATCAGGGGTAATCAGTCTTTTTTTTTTTTTTTTTCCTCAGTGTGTCTCATTATGTTCTTGCACCATTGGAATAAGCACAGCATATTCAAACTCCAAATAACTTGACACTTTTTTTTTTTGTGCTTGTTTTGAATTGGAGTGAACATTAATCATAGAAAAAAAAAATGATACAAACACATTTGTTAAATCAAAGAACCTTCATACTTTTTATTATGCCATACCGTTTTTTTAAATAAAATTACATTTTTATTTATTAAATATATAATATTTATTATTATTATTATTACATTTACAATTGTATTATTTTATTTGTTAAAACAAACAGTGTAGTCATGAACCAAACCAACATGGGACTATAAATACAGGTGTATTTTAGGCATGTCAGAATAATATTTTACCTTTTTTTTACCTACTGTATACAATACTTTTAATCTGGTTAAATAACACACACATTTATGTGACCATGATCTTGAATTTACTGAGGCCAGAGTAGTAACAGTCTTGTAATACCAAGTTGTAAAGCTATCACTGAGAAATTTCTTTAGGACAAATAGTCTTTTTTTTGTTGTTGTTGTTGTTATTTTATTTTTTGAGGAAATCTACTGACCTATATCAGACTTACACATCTAACAAACAACAACCATCTGTGCTGAAACTCTGCACTGCTAACACCATCCACCTCCAATTGATTTCAGTCTATCTGGGGGGCATGAGAGCTCCCGTGGTGTCAAGCCAAAGTGCTGACTGCCTTATTGGACCAATATTGCTGTGAGAATGAACTGGACTATGGAGACTTTGCAAAAACGGCAGTCTGTCTCCCTCCCCTTGCATCCAGGACCCCCTCAAACACAACAATTGTTTGTATATGCCGTCTCTATAGCAGTGGTTTTAAGTCAAATTGGCAGAATGATTTGTTTACATAAAAGACAAGATGTTTTCCTTTTTTATCGCATTTGTGTGAACAAAAATACAAAAGAAGAACACCTAAACAAAACAGACCATTCTTTTCTACTGTGCAAAGCACTACAAAAACATCTGTGTAAAACTAACCAAGATTATATTAAGAAAGAGGGAGCAATAAGGGTTTAACTGCTACTACTGGACTCCTGCAGGGGCAATGGGGCTTACTCACTTGGATTTGAAAGTAATTTTGGCTGCATGCTTTTTTATTTGTGTATTTGTATGTGTACAGGAAGCTAATTTCAAAACCATGTGTTATTGTTGTTCAGCCACACAAAGCTAATTTGCACATTTAAACTATACCCTCACCTCTGTTGCAGTTTTCCTGTACCGTTCCTCAATGTCACCTGTACAAGCTAGCATTACATAAAGGGCATATTTAAAGGTTGAGGTTGAAAGTCCATTAGTACAATCCTCTCTTTAGATGCCTATATTATAGCACCAGCAATTTACAAAATATCTCCCTATGGCACAGACTTGCTGAGGTCGTCCACCTTTCTACGGTTCACAATTAAAATGGGTTAATTGAAGATGCTAATTAGAAACATGAGGTGCCAAACAGCAAGGGAGCCAAAAGGCAGGGTGCAGTGTGTATTTTTAGGGGATATTATTATTATGAGAAGACACATTAATAACACACTTCCCCAGGGAGAGAAAAAAAAAAAAATAACCTTGAAAAAAAAACAAAAAAAAAAACTATTGTGCAGGAGCTTAACATACCACCTGTTATTGTGAGGTGATTGAAACTGATGCCTGTGCATTGGCTCCTTTTGAAGATAGCCAGGAGATTGATGGCTGCCTCCCAAAGCCCCTCAGATAGCTTCAGCAGTAAACAGAGTCCATCTTCCAAACTGCCACCACGACAGATGAATCAACGCTTGCACGGTGATTAATAACTGCGTTTCGGCAAAGAGGTTTTTACCCCATTTCACATATGCACATTGTTACCAACAGTTTGGCAGTCAGCTTTAATCACATGTGACTTTTCCATAACCACGTTTGCTTTTGTTAAATGCACTTCACACGTTATATTCCCTTACCAAGAATTAAATTTTGAGTCATTCACACATTAACGTCACCGTTTGTGAGATACTTTGTAAAAGGCAAAAGAAATGCTTACATTTTGTTTTTTTATCCTTTTTTTTATCATGTCACGTTATTGAGCTCACAAACAGCTTTGTGATCATAAAGTTTGACACCCCCACCCCCATATTTCCCCTCTTTGCAGTCTTGCAAAGAAACAGTCATAGTGGCACATTTTGTGTTGACACTGAAACATTTCACTCAATAATAACTCTTGCATTCGTGCAACAATCAAGTGCAAGACGACCAGAACTAATACAAAATAAAAATAAAAATGCTGTTCTAAAAGATTATGTTTGTTTTCTAACTAAGTTAAGGCAGGTCGTTTGGATGGATTCTTCTTGTTGAAACGTTTCGTCTTTTATCCAAAAGACTTTGTCAGTCTGAGGAGCTGCAACAAACTCAGTCTTATAAATAGCACCATCTCATAGTGGAGACAATGAGTTATAATATGTTATATTTGTTGCAGCTCCTCAGACTGGCAAAGACTTGTGGATTAAAGGTGGAACATTTCAACCAGAAGAATCCATCCAGAGGACCTGATTTAACTTTAATATTTTTTTCTACCTAGATTATTGAGCATGCATCTGGATATTTAATTTGTTTTGTTTTACTTTTCTTACATCTGCATTTGTAGTCTTTCACTGTATGTGATACAATGTCTATTGTAAAAGAAAACAAAAAATAGTTTAAACATCTAAAAAAAAAAATGCTGTCAATCTAGTGTTTGACACAATGAATGGGGCGTTTAGGAAATTATGGTCTCTTTTTTTTAATCTTGTTCCATAGTTACTTTTCAGTGCATTTTATGCTTGACCCTACACTTGTTAAATAGCTCCCAGCTGTCACAGTGATGCTCACCAGATGGAGACCACAACATGTGCACCAGTGAGCAGGAATAGACTAATGGCTGACTAAAGGTTAAAGACATCTTGTAACTTCAGTATGAACAAACCAGTGTCTTGAAAATTCAGAGGTTGATTTCTACACACAAACCCATTTACTTTGTGTTCAGTTCAATAAATGCTAGTGCATGTTGAAAGTATTACATAATATTGTAAGCAGTAAGAGCATTCTCTTTCTGCAGTTTCAGTCTCAGTTGGCTTGACCTTTTATAGTGAAGAGGCCAGCCGTGGGTTAACGGGGTTTGGGGAGTGCACAAACATTTTGCTTAAGGGAATCGTATGCTCATGTAACACAAGTACGAGGAGGCTACTGGCAATTTAGCCTGAGCCATTTATCTTTCTATATTCTTAATGTCAGCCAGAGTTCAGAGTTGCTGAATGGATACTAGAACCAGCCCAATTTATGGCCACTTAACATAATTTCAAGGTTTGTCTATAGTGTTACCAGTCAGATTTGGAAAAAAAAAAAAAAAAAAAATTAAAATCCATATTTCCTCCACTAAATTACTAATAGGTTATTTAAGTAATAATACAAAATAGCATGCATGTGAAGGATAAAAAATATATTGATATCACATTGTAATCTGATTTAATATGTTGTAATGTAACAATAATGTTATGCTTTTGTGGGGCTCATAGTCTTTCTTTGTTATATTTCAATTTTAAAGAGCACTTTAAAAACACCTCTTTTGAGGAGTAATTATCTTGTTTGTTGTTGTTTGTCATAAACTACATTAGTAAATCATAAATGCAAGGACAATTTTTAAAAGTAATGCATATGAATTATTGCAAAATTCATCTGTGATCATAATAAACTGATCTTAAATTGATGATTCTACATATCACAAGTCCTAGTGTTAGGGCATAAACCAGTCAGGTGTATGCTTTAAAATTGCAATGCCTTCCCAACAGAGATCATATTAGTCTTTATTTGTATGTGTGTAATGAGCTCAGTGATTTGGAAATAATTGCTGTTTGTAAATCTGCTACTGATGTCAGGTGATTGTCTATAGAGGATACAGAATATAGACATTCGTGTAGAGGAGAATGTGGAAAAAAAAAACTTAACATGCAATAGTAAATTAAGAGAGGCAGGACAAACAAACTACAGGAGCTCTGGAAATCCTGGGATTGCAACAAAGACTCTAGAAACAGTGTTTAAAAAAGTGAGGTGGAAGTATGTAAACTGGGAGGGAGAATTACAAAAGTGAGTGCAGACCGGATGATAATTAGATGAGTAGCAGGTGAGGACAGAGGAAACAATTTCAAAATAAAACAAAACAACAAAGAGCAAATATGATTAAATACGTAAAAAATAAAAAATAAAAAAAGGATTCTAATAACTGATATTTTTATTACTGTTAACAGGCAATCAATAAAAAAAAAATCTACATATGATGTTGTGTTTTATTTATTATTATTTTTTTCCACTTTAAATAAAGTTGAAGAACAACATATTTTGAGGGAGTCTGTCCCTGTCTTCTGACATCTTCTTCATATTTCTTTTTGACTGGCAGATTTGTCCCTTGGGCACCATCACTGCCCTCCCCAACTTCCTAATTTCCGATGCACTGTAAGATTGGT